TGTAGACCGATTTGCAAAATTTTTGTAATCAAAAGGGTATGCTCCCGGAGTGGTCCCGTTACCAACAAAATCAGGATCTAGATAGCGGGCATCTGCATAATCAAGGATAGGGATAAGAAGTGTCTGTGCAAGGGCAATCTTGGTTGGAATAGGTAAAAAGTTGCGCAGTCGGCGCATGTACTGTTGCATCGGCCGCGCTACATTCTACCAAGCCTATCAAGCATCTATTTGGCTTGGCACCGACTTCAAACAGACTAGAAGGGACTATTGCTATCATAATATTACCTGTTATATTCAGGGTTTTATAATATAGTTTTTTTACTTAGATTTGTAATTATTTTTTAATTTTTAGTGCTCTTTGTCAGTATTGTTTGAAGTCGGTTCTACTTTTTTTTAAAGGATTTATTTTTTTATACAATTTCTTTACACTAAGCCCTCTTTATAGTTTTAATATCCTTGATGTTGTGTAATGTTTCATATCTCATTTAAACTAACAACCACTGAAACTACTTCTAAGGTTCTTGTTTTTATTATTTTTTAATTTTATTTATTGATGAGAATATCTGAATTATTTTTAATATTTTGAATTGAATTGTTAAGACGTGAAAAAACATGCAACTTTTTCAAATATATTACATTAGGATTCTATCACGCCAATGTTGTGTGATCAAAATTACACCTGTTATTCTTTATTGTGCAAACATTTTAATAACAAAAATTAAGTTATTCAAATCCAATTTGCCGAATGCCATTATAAAAGATCTAATTTATGTCTACAATTAGATTATAATATTAATATAATCTTTCCACATATAAACTTGTGCTAATATTTATGACACAAATATTAAGGTTAAACAGATAATATCGATAAGACTTTTACTGACTTGAGGTTACTTATGACTTGAGCACGCCTTTATCGCGGCGGTATGGAGGATTGGTTTGAGAGGCATCACGGAACATACTTGAAAGGATGCTTCGTAGATCACCTGTATCTGATCTGAGGAGCCAACGTCTGAGTGCCACTACTGCGATGGCTGGACCGTGGAGACGGCGCTCCACACGCAGGCAGAATACCCGGCATGGGTGGAGCAGAGGCGTTGCCTCTTGGCGGCCATCGGAGTGGAAATTCTCTCGCTCGGCAACATGATTGCTGCCATGATATGGAGCGAGAGTTCGTGGAACTCCGCCGTCTCCTTCTGAGATGGCGGAGGCTTAAGACTATTGGATTATACAAACTTATTTAATTATATACACTAAACACATACATACCACCCACCACCATACCACTACACATATGTATATTCATTATACAAAATATACATTGAAAAAAGAATACAGAAATAAATGATAGATAAACACAAGATTCCAGACGGAGCGAGAGGACCTCTGCTCAGCAATTTTGGAAATACTCCTTCAGTAATTTTCTAAAACCAGCCAATGTTTGTGCTCGTCTGATGGGCAGTGGCTATGCATTCCACAAGCGTATGGAATGAACGAACTAAACGATTTGTATATAAAAGTCGTGATGTGCCTTGGCATTTCCAAAGTCAAGCTCTCTGACGATCTAAAGGAGTTTGAATGAGTATCACAAAGGTATCTGAAGCGTCCTTTTAAATAAAGGGAGTGTTTTGATTAAAGAGAATATTGTGTAATAGTGAAAGTATATGAATATTCCAGCGAAGACGAATGAGTAACCAGTTAAGCTTAATCAGAAATTCAAAAATATGGTCAAAGGAGAACGGCCGATTCTAGAAATATATGACGTAAGGTTATGAAAATTGTAACGTTTATAAAGTGAGTCCTAACTAATTTCATGTGAAAGTAAATAAATTCTCAAAGAATTGTTACAACTGCAATAACTAAACTTTCAAGTATTGTCGTACGTTTTCTAAGCTTGCCATGCATAAAATATAAATTACACAAAAAGCGATATGCTTACATCGAGATCAATGAATGAGCTCACTAGTGTATTTAACGGTTAAAAACAAACATTTCTTTATTAGTAATGATGACTGTTCATATTACACAAAGTAGTGAAGTAATAATTATTTTAATTCAAATAATTAAAGGAAATAACTATATAACTACTACTACTAGTAACTTTTATTCAAATCGATTATATTAATCGTGTACATTATGTAAAAAACGTAATTGAACTATTTGACAGGACAACATTTTATTGACAGATCAAGAATATCGTAAACGAATGATTTTGTAAAATATCTAAGTCAACTTGTTGACAGTGATGATAAGTCATTAGTGACAGCCAACTGTCGTTGGTATCCTTTTCAATACAATTTGTATGCAAACCACAAACTGAAATTACTTTTGACTCCAAAGTTCTAAAAACCTGGTTTTTTAAACTGTAATGGTTGATTATACGAGTATTACCAGCCAAATAAATACAACAATAATCCCTACCATGAGATATGCAAGGCGGTACAAAAGTCCCATATATGGCTGCCATTCTCCTTTGCGCAATCCAAAAATTTACCTTATGCAAAAGTTTTGAAGCCGCTCAACCTTATTAAGTTGGTCTACAGTGAGATCGGGATAGCTGGTATCTGTGTAATCAAGGATTGGGACTCTGCAAGCGCAAATTTGGTAATAATTGGTAAGAAGTTACGCAACCTTCTCAGTGATCCGACAAAAGCAAACAGTTTCCTACTGACTACTTGTAGTTGCGGACCCCAGGACAAGTTTTTATCGAAGGGAATTAAAGGATTTTCGACAGTCGTAGTGCACCAGTCATTGAGTCTTTCCTTCGTCTACCCCAGTAGGACCGGTCTCGGTAGGCGTGAAATGTCGTGCGGTGTTCCGCAGGGGTCGGTGTTAGGGCCATTCTTGTGGAACATCGGCTACGACTGGGTGCTTCGTGGTGCCTTCTTGGATGGTGTCGCCGTCGTGTGCTACGCGGACGATACGCTCGTGACGGCGTAAGGCAAGACGCACCACGAGGCAACCCTGAGGGCCACGGCCGGGGGTGCCCAAGTCGTTGAGCGAATCCGGCGGCTAGGTCTCGAGGTGGCTCTGCACAAGTCCGAGGCCCTATTCTTCCACGGGCTTCTTAGGAAGCCGCCTGAGGGATCTATCACTCGCATCGGCATCGAGCCCTCGATCAGGTATCTGGGGCTCGTAATCGATGGCCGATGGGACTTCGGATATCATTTCCGAGGTCTGGTCCCCAAGTTGGTTGGGGCAGAGCGTGCATAAGCGCGGCTGCTGCCCAACATGAAGGGACCCGATGACTCCTGCAGGAGACTCTACACGGGGGTTGTGCGGTCCATGGCCCTTTACGGGTGCCCAGTATGGGCCGGGGCCCTGAAGGCCAGCAACGTCGCGATACTGCGACGACCGCAGCGAGTGCTGGCCATCAGGATCATAAGCGGGTACCGCACGATCTCCTTTGACGTGGCGAGTCTCCTGGCCGGAACTCCACCGTGGGACCTAGAGGCGAGAGCCCTTGCGGCTCTGTATCAGTGGCGCAAGGAGTCGCGGGAGTTGGGTCGATGTCAAGAGGTTCGAGAAATCGATGACCGGAAATCCTAACTCCGCCAGGTCATCATAGGGGAGTGGAGGGAATCGCGGCGGTAAGACCCGTTATGGAGGATTGGCTCGAGAGGCGTCACGGGACCCTCTCATACCGACTGACGCAGGTGATCACTGGGAAAGGATGTTTCGGGGATCACCTGTGCCTGATCCGCAAGGAGCCAACGCCTGAGTGCCACCACTGCGATGGCCAGACCGTGGACACGGCTCTCCACACGCTGGCGGAGTGCCCGGCGTGGGTTGAGCAGAGGCGAGACCTCGTGGCGGCCATCGGAGTGGGAGTTCTCTCGCTCGATAGCCTGATTGCGGCTATCGTGCGGAGCGAGAGTGAGTGGAACTCTGCCGTCTCCTTCGGCGAGCAAGTTATGCTCGCGAAGGAGACGGCGGAGCGGGACCGGGAGAGGTTTAGAACTCTCCCGGCCCGCCATGCCCGGGAACGGGCCAGACACCGTAGGCCACTCAGGCGCCGGAGGTCGCACAATGACCTCCGTCCTTCATAAGCGCAGGCCTGGGGGTGACAGGTGAGGCCATCTGTCACCCTAGCAGAAGCAGGCTGTGGTGGCGGCGAGCGCGTTGCGAAGCGCGCTCGCTTCCAGGGAGCAGAGGGAACATGGGGTTCCCACACAGGGGGGGTGGTCTACTCGTCTGTAGATGGCCCGAGGTATGTCGGGGCACCAGGGACTTCCTTTCTAGGGTATACCTGGTTCCCCGGCTATTAGTTCCCGAGATGGCGTGCGGTTTTAGTCGGTTCGAGACCGACATGCCACCGACAGGTGGTATCCGAGGAGATTGCAGCACGGAAAAAAAAAGGGAGTTTTTCCTAGATTCCAAGAAGCTGCCGACGCCCGAACAGGTAGTTACGAAACCAGTCAACAACCGTCGGAGATATGTTAAGAGAGCATATTATGGCAAGACGTCAAAGTCAACGTTGTTAAAGGCGTTACTGAAGTCTAGCAGCGCCAGCACGGTTAGCTTGCCATCCTCAAAGTCTGACCGTATATCGTCCATGATATGAACCAGTACACTATGTCTATGGTGGTGTTAGTACCATGTCCAGGAAGAAAACCAGATTGGAGGGGATTTAGAAGGAAATTTTTGAACAGATATTGATTTATTTGTTTATAGACAAGACGCTCGAGAGTTTTAAATTAGAGATAATCGGAGAAGTGAGTGAGAAATCCCCCCTTCCGCTAACTCGAGTGTGATGGACTCCAAGGGCAGCAATCGCACTTGTGACTTTTGAGTTGCGGGTATCCATGGGCGGCGTAGTTGCAATTAGCATACAAGATAAACTTTAGGACCAACCTTTATTAAAATAATGCAAAAATAAATATTAATAATTTTCTTTACTTAACTTTCTAATAAATAAAATATATCACAGTTACAATCGTTATTTAACATTACATTTGTCAGTGTTTAAGTGTTTTGTCAACCTTTAGTAATGGCGAGACTTAACCGCGAAAGGGCTGTCCAAAAGGTTTTTTCTGGAACTGCTGTTGCTGATATCTAGGATGAACCTGCTGCTGATAAGAAGGCTCGGGCTCTTGGGGCTTAGATTTGATGTACTCGATAGCGCGGAGGATATCTTTAGGAATAGGAGGAGAAGTTGGCAAGTGAGCGCCTTGATGCTGGAAACATGTAAAAATACATTAGATAGTAAATATCTAATATATAAAAATGTGTCCATACTTTATAATAATAATAATAATAATAATAATTTTATTTCAGACATATAAAGTCCATAGGTTGTTTAGTAATGGGTTAGAAACAGAAAGTACTTAACGTCTATATTAGTATTGTTAGTATCGGCACTTAATAGTAGAAAGGCATTCAACTATGCTTTCCTATTGCTATTGCCACCCAATGCCTTTGTATAGGACAGTCTGGCCTACTAGCAATCATCTTCAGGACGCTGTTCCGGGTATTTCGCAAGCGCTTTAGCATGGAAGCTGATTTTTTACGCATGAGAGCATGAAACCCGTCGGTGCGTGTTTCGGCAAACATGCCCGATGCACTACAATGCCGCGGCAGCCGCAACAGCATCCTGAAGACGTTGTTATACTGTACGCGCAGGACGTTGTAGGCCCGTTCTGTATATGACACCCACAGGCCGCTCGAATAGAAGGACTGACGGAACGCTTTAAATAAAGTCACTTTAACGTCTGCCGTGCAGCGAGCAAACCTACGGGCGAACATATTGCCCCTCACCGCCAACGCCCTGCGCTCCCGCTCTATGTCGCTGTCATCGCGAAGGTCACTGGTGACAATATGGCCTAAATACCTGACCTTCTCAACAACTTTTAGCACTACGCCATTGAGATATACCGGAGCTACACGGCGTGACTGTTGTTTTTGCGTTTTGAATATTAAAATCTCGCTCTTTTTAGAGTTGTATTTAAGGCCGCGCATCTCCGCATACGTCTCGCAGATCGATAGTAGCTCTCTCAGTCCACCTATCGAAGGACTGAGCAGCACCATGTCGTCCGCGTAACTTAAATTATTGACACATGTGCCGTCTATGTGACAGCCTACATGTGTGCTGCTCAGTCGCTCGATAAGCTGGTTCATATATAAATTGAACAATAGAGGTGAGCTTAACCCCCCCCCTGCCTCACACCACACTCCATTCTGTACTCATCCGAGAGAGTACCGACCCATCTCACCCGGTTTGTCTGGTGAGCATACCAGTATTTGAGGAGCGCTGTGTACTCGGTCGGAACACTCGTGTCTCCCAACTTGTCCCACAGTACATCATAGGCAACAAGATCGAAAGCTTTTGACAAGTCGAGAAAACACGCGTAGACCGGCGTCCTCCGCGATGTATAGTACTTGACTGTGTGTTTTAGGCTAAGTATGGCACTCTCCGTGGACAGGTCGCCCCTGAACCCGAACTGGGCATCGTTTACTTCAACGTGATCTGAAAGGCAGCCGTTCAACACACCGTCAAGCACCTTAGCCGCGGTGGTGGCAAGCGAGATGGGTCGATAGTTATTTACATCGAACGTGTCACCCGTTTTGGTTTTAACAACAGGTATCACTGTGGTCCGCATAAGCGGTTCGGGTAAATAAGAGTGACCGAGGCATAGGGTAAAAAACAGAGAGAGTACTTTAGGCAGGTGCATCCCTGCATGCTTAAAATGTTCTATGCTGAGGCCATCGTGACCCGGCGATTTTCCATGTTGCATTCCGGAAACAATTTTAGCGACTGTCTTAGCTGGTACTTTAGTAATCCGCCCGGTCACACTAGCCCCAGCATATTCCCTATCATACGACCCCGAGTTCAAAGGCGACCGCACAGAGAAGTGTGTCCTAAAGGCATCAGCAATATGCTTGTGATCAGTCATACCACCGACGCTCACCGGGAGACTCGGCCTCACATTCATATTGTTTGTTTTTTTCCAAAACTGCTTAAAATCCTTAGTGGTATGGATTGAGGCAAGAAGATCCATTTTGAGCTGATCTTGTCTGTTCTGACACCATTTAAGCTTGGCCTTAAAAACTCGCCTTGCCTCCGCCATTTTACAAAATAAAGGGCCAGTGGCCGGACGACCTGCCATTGTCCAAACTTACTTATAAGATACTTTGAAGATCTAGTTTTAATTGGCGTGTTATTTATACGTTGAAATTTATTTCAAAATAAAAACGAGAAACTTTAGGGGTCCGTGTAGTGACAGATTAAGAATACGGAATGTCACTACCTCAATTCATCCCGTGGGTGTCGTAAGAGACAACAAAAAACAATGCGGGACATAAGCACTGCAAAAAGAAGGGAAACTTGACACAAACCCTATGCCAACCCGTCTGGCCATCGTGGTATAGTAGGCCAAAACCTCCTTTCTAAGGAGAGGCCTATGTCCAGCAGTGGACTATTAAAGGCTGTAGATGATGATGATGAGGGGTCCACTATATATATATGAACATGAAAAAAGTTATATGATGACTATTTACGTTACACAACTATCATCAACAACCTTTACTATTCCACTACTGGACATAGGGGCCTATGTCCTGTTGTTCCTTAAAAACAAACAAATATTTAAAAGCTCATAAACTGTGGTTGAACTTCTATCACTAGCCGTACGCGCCAGTATAAATAAATCCATGAAGTCTTGGCTATTGTTATTAATTCTACAAAAATTTAAGGTTTACAGTTATACGAGTAGCAAGTATTTATTATATTCAAAACAAATATATTTTAGTTACATACAAACTTATGTAACTAAAATATATTTGAAAAAAAACTAAAATAAAATAAAATAATAGGTCTTTACCTATGAAATTGCCGTTTTGTATGCAATAAGTGAAAGTACTTATTTTTTTCAAACTTTTTATTTCTGTTATTCGAAGTAATCACCCATGCAATCGACGCATCTTTGCCAACGCATTGGCAGTATATTGATGCCTTCAGCTCTTCTTGTAAAAATCAGCTGGTCGGGAGGCAACCAACTCTTCAAAGGCATTTTGTACTGCCTCTCGGGAATTGAATTTTTTACCCGCTAAAAAGTTGACTAAATTATGGAAAAAGTAATAGTCGGTAGGTGCAATTAATACTTGCGACTGCAAATACTTTTTGACTGCACGGATGGCGTAGTGGTTTAAGCGGTCGCCACGCCACGCCGCTCACGACTACGCTGAGTGTTGGGGTCCGATCCCCACATGGGACGACACTTTGTGTGATCTACAAATTGTTCTGAGTCTAGGTGTTCTTTGTGTCCTTTTCATGTATGTTTGTAAAGTCCCCGCGACACAGGATATATTCCTAATGCGGGAGTTGTATTTATAAATAGAACACCAGCCGCAACTTTCCGCCATCGTTCCACACGGCAAAATTTTCTTCCTAATCACCTGGATAGTTGGCGCTCCACTACTGTGCGCTTTTCGAGACCCTTTTTGCCCCTTACAACCAATCTGTGGAACGGGTTATTGTCCTGCGATATGCTGCGTCCTGATTATGCGACCTTCAAGAAAAGAGCGTTCTCCTTTCTTAAGGGCCGGCAACGCGTTTGTGACTTCTGAGTTGCAGACGATCATGGGCGACGATGGTCACTTTCCATCAGGTGACCCGTCTGCTCACCGCCCCCTCTGACATAAAAAAAAAATTGAAATTACTCAATCGCTAGAGCAGTAATTTTGAACATTTTATTAGCTTATCAAAGTATTTGTTTCGAAGCGTAACCTAAGGGACGTTTTTTACTTAATAGTTTATCAAAACGCGGTTTTGGTATATCGGTGATAGGCAAACACTATTTTAATTCAATCTTTTTGTTGTACATCTGACAATAAATTGAAATGAACGTTATGAAAACTATAGCAGTTAGTTTGTTAGGTTAACAACGAAATTGTACTAACAAATTATATGTATATAAATACTTATAGGCATAAATTTGGGCAAACATCAATAACAACCAATTTTTTTTATATTAGAGGGGGCAGACGAGATGGAAAGTGACCATCGCCGCCCATGAATAACTCAAGATTCATAAGCATTTTTTATCATCTATGTACATAAAGTATGTACACAGATTATAAAAAGTACGTATTACCACAGCGTAGAAAACTGATTAACGAAGTTTCTTTTATTCTATTACTAAGTAAGACAAATGCTACAATTCACAAAATTGCCTACCGTTCTCATCACCAACATAGGTGCAAAGATAGGAATGCCTTCAAGGGAGGTGTAGGTAAAGGAGCCTTGAGCTGCTATAGCTTGTTAATTGTTTGGTCCAGCATTTTTCAGTGAGCCTTGTTCTTACGCAGCAATGCCATTGCCAGTCTTCAAGCTTTAACAAAAAATTAATAGTTACCAAGTGTTATATTGAGTTGTAATACCTAAATTATTTCGCAGTATATAAATAACTCACAAGGTACTAGTATCATTTTATTTCTTATCTATTGGTATTTCACAGTGAACATTATTATTCGTTGATGCCTTCAAAGTTGTTTTTTTTTTTCATCTGCATTTTCAAAGTTTTATATTTATTTTAAGGCACACTGATTATGGCAATGATCCTAACATATGTAGAAAGTGTATTAATTATACATTGACATAAAGTTGTTCTAGATTTTTAATATGTTAATATTTCTAAACATTATAAGACGATCACGTCCTTGATAATAAATTATACGAAATAAAATTGATGAACACACTGTGTAATTGGTAAGTAGTAAAGTGCGGTTAAAGAGAATTGGTCAATCATAATTAATATTAAGAATCCTAAGGTTGGAGAACCGGAATCTATTTTTGAGACTGCCGTTAAGAAATGTTCATTTATTACCTCAATGCAGTCCTTTTTTTTAAATTATAGTTTTTACTTTCATTATTTGAGTTCACTGTAGAACAATAAGAATGTCAAATTACTGGATCTCGTCATTCTTTTAGCTTTAAGTCAGATGCATATGTATATATATACTTATAATGGACAAAATTAATTACCTGGATTGACAGGAGGAGGAGAAGGGTTAATGTTTTGCTCTCGTCTGAGGATGGGAATTTTCTGATATTGTGGTGCCGCACAGATGATGGCCACGAGGGCGGAGATGATTATGAACTATTGAAGAATATAAGTGTTATGTATTGTTTTTTTAATATCTTAAGAGATGGAAGCACAATTAGCACAAACTCAAAAATATATGAGATAATAATGGATAGGAAAGGTTTAAAACTAATATCATCCTCTTGCTATGCCCTTAGGAGTTTAAGAGAAGAAGTTACCATCAGTCAACTAAGGACTGTATATTGTGCTCTAGTCGAATCAAGGTTAAGATACAGTGTCCAGTTCTGGGGTAATAGTTACAAGTATAATTGTGAAAAGACCTTCATAATACAAAAACAGGCAATTAGAACTATGGTCCGAATGCCGCAGTGGGAGTCATGTAGAGAGCATTTCAAAGAACTATCCATACTAACAGTTCCTTGTTTATACATACTGACCGTACTAAGCCAACTGTCAAAATACATTACTGATTTTGAAACTCAAGATGAAAGGTTAATCAGAGAGAGTACTCGAAGAAAGAACTTGAGAAACAATTTTATACCAACATTAAATATTGCAAAGCATTGTGCGCGTTATCAAAGTGTGAAACTATTTAATTGCCTACCTGCAGAAATAAAAATGGAAATCTATAAGACACACATATTTAAAAAAAAGAGTTAAGGCCTTCTTATTGGAAAAATGTTATTATTCTGTAAATGAATTTACTGGCTCATCTTGTAACTGACATTAAAATCCTAGGGACATGTTAGGGATATAATTATTGTGTGATCTCCTGTTTCCTTTGACATGACAATTCTAACTGGCATTTAGTTTGCATTAAGTACCTGTTTGAAATTTAATTTATTTTGTTTGACATTATTATTTTTGACATCAAGTGATTCATTTTGTTAATATGACTGGTATGGTTGGAGTTGTGAATGTTATATGTATATTTGAAATGTTTTTAACTTATTTTAGATGGTTTAATGTGAATTGTTTTTAGAGATTATATCGCAGTCCCCGACGAACAAAATCGTAATAGGAAAATAACAATTTTACAGGAGCAAATAAAAACTGAATATCTTGAATACTATCAAGACTAAAAAGAAGATTCTTTTATCAAAAATAAGGAAATATTTTTTTGCACTAGATTTTTACTAAATTTTTATCATAAATTTTCTTTATCAGTAAGAAAATTGTGAAAATGTCCATTACTGAAATAAGCTATGGAAAAAATTAACGCAAACTAACTTTACGATAGTGTTCGACTGTAATCACAAATCGGTGTTGCTGTAGTAATCGTTCATTATGATATTGTTCCATGGTAAATATGAATATACTTTATATTCGTAAAATGACATTGCAATCGTATTCGATGATATAACTGACTTTAATATTACGGTAAACATAAATTACATGCTTATTCGATGATCATTTTTAGGTGTTATAACTATTTCGGTACCTATGTATAAATTCTGATTCTGATTCTGTCATTTTTCCCTCGAACAATTACTTTTCTTTTCTCACTATTATGAAATATTATATTCAGACACAATTGTAATAAATTGTTAATGAATTAAATAAATAAATAAATAATCATTTAGAATAATATTATAGCAAATCATTTTGTAAGGCAACTGTCAAATTTTATTTTTATATTTCTATTTTTTAAATATTTATATAACTATCTTGTGCCCCCGACTTCGATTCGCGTGAAATTTGAAAAGCGTTGCCTGAGTGGGTTAGATTCCCGGACCGGGCAATATTTTAGGCTTAGCTTGCTCCTTATATAGACAGCTACCTGGTAGTAAAATATTATCAAAATCGGTACAACCGTTTTGAAGATTACCCGGAATAAACAGACAGACAGACAGACAAAAAATAATTAAACTGGTTTTTATTTATAGGTATATTGCAAAAAACCATGAGCATGAAAAACCCCTATCATTTTGACATTACAAACTGACACTTAAATTTTATTTATTTGTATAGATAATTTGATTAGGTAAAGTTTAACGGTAATTCAATAAAAGTGGTCATTTGTTTCATACATACCCATGTATGAAACAAATGACCACTTTTATTGAATACAGAGACTTTTATACGAGCCGGTCAATATCGCCACATGTGAAATCGTAGCGGAACACGAGCTTGCATTACTTAAAGCGCCGCCCGCCCTTGTAGCTCGTGTTCTATCTTATAAATATTTTTTGTTACACGTTAAATAAATGTAAATACAGAAAAAGAGAATAACTAAGTAGGAAATAGCAAAGGCAAAGTAACAAATTTATTCTACTATTACTATTTCACATATTATCCAATTTACTTTGTTTTTGCCAAGGTTACAAACAAAAACTCTTTTAGAATTGTTTAGATTAGAATAGTTTGGCTTTAAACTGAAAGCTTGAAAGTGCTTCAAGCTTTGTGCAAACACGGTCATTAAGTATTAATTTTATTCTAGGTTCCAAAAAAAGTTGAAAAATGTCGCAAATGATGGCAACATCATGTGCATATTTTTTCAACTTTTGATAAAATGATTTGCAGTAGTAAAAAGCGGTTGTTATGTTGCTTCAACACAAAGCTATTCGTACTGTGGTTTATAGTGGTATAGGGCGAGAAGATAATATTAAAAACATATCGAAAATGTACAGGTAGTTAAAAAACTTTGTACTTCACGTAATAGACGATTGCATCAGTGCACCATTGAGGTGGCCGCATTCTGACTATAGCAAGTAACCGCGAAAAGTGCAACGTTAAAGTGGAAAGGCAATATAAGGGAAATAGTAGTAGTACCTGTTATGTGATCTCGTTAACTTTGGTGTTTATTATAATGATATAACATAATTTGTTATGTGTTTAACATAGAGCACTCCTGGCGAAGCGGGACCCTACGGTTAACGTTGAGAAGTTGTATATTCGTATGCTAATCGATGCGAGAATTTCTATTGGGTATTGCAGCATTAGTATTTACTTCGTAGTTCAGTGTGACTTCCTTAAATGGTATTGAAGTACGTTTTCTTATTAAAGTAACCTCCTCAAACACCAAAAGTTGATATCTTGATATGAGTCAGCTGTGCGTGCCATGTTGTGGAACATGTCAGTGCCACTAGTGAGTAGTTACAGTGAGTAGACTTTTGATATATGTTTTACCTTCCAGATGTGTAATTAAAAAAGTTATAAAAAGAACAGCTTTGGAATACGTCTTATGGCGAGTGAAGACTTTCATCAAATGATAATGAAAAAATGTAATGTTTGGTGATTTGGTATTACGTGTTACGATTTCTTACTGAAGCTCTTCTAAACTTAAAACTGTTTGTCGTATGGTATATCACCTGTATATGTTCTGTGTGTATGTGTCATACGCCCTATTGTCAATTGTCATAAACAGTGTCTTTTATAAACTCCCTGTGAGATACGAGTATATCGCCAAATTAAGAAAAGGTTTTTGTTATTTGATCGGAGGCAAACGAGCACTCGCGTCCCGACTGACTGAATACCACCGCACATGGGTACCCACATCTTAAGAGACACAAGTGCACTACTGCCCTTTGAGTGTTTCCCTCCCCAAGACAAGAGGGGAGTGGGGTAAGGAAACACTCAAAGTTGTGAGGGTAAGTTGGGAGTGGGGTATCCAGTACCTCACTCACTCGGTCAGTAGCAACCAGAAAAAAAGAATTGCTTATCATTGGTATTCTGTAAGGTCGTGGTATCACTCCAGTCGAGCTGCCTCAAATGTTCCGAAGCATGGCAAGGTAACATCTATGTATTTTAATTAAGACAATAAAATAAAAACAAAAGTATGTAGTTTATTGTGTAATTATATCTTAAAATCTAGTTTTTTCAATGTATTCCAGATACAGATATATTTTTTGACTCCCAAAGCATAATTTTGAAACATATTTATATTTATCTAAATGTTAAAGAGTAATTTTATAGTTCCTAAGTTGATGTAAGGTTCTTTTTTTTTTCATGTTTTTTTTTGCTCTGAATTTTTTAATTGTAATAGTATCTATGTATTTTTTTTTTATTAAAATTACTATAACAGTAACTATGAGTTTTTTTGGACTTCAAGCACTGGGTTCAGCAACTGCACATTTCATTACCTTGCCATTAGGTGTCAAGTTGAAAGGGAGTAGACGTATAACAGGGCACAGTGCGAGCGTTTGGCTTCTGGTCTATTATGGCTACATTGTCATTGCAAACTACCTCTTCTATATATGTAATTCAGTTAGAAAATTAAATATTTTTAGAAATCTTTACTATTTTTAACACTTGCGAAAATACAAAAAGAAAAGAATAAATCTAATGACATTTACCAAAAAAGTTATTGGAACGAAGTTCCTTATCGCGCGTTGTGAAAGGGGGCTAGACGGCTCACGAAAAGTTGTAACGACACTTTTTATGTCAGCGCCATCTATCGAATAGATAGGAAATCATTACTTTTCATTTCAGTATTTATTTTGAATTGTCACTTGTCAGTCATTCAGCGCCATCTATCGAATAGATAGGAAATCATTTCTCAAGGAGATTTTACCAATGTATAATATAAATTGTTTTAATTAGAAACCAACTGAAAAATATTTAGGTAATAGCCGCTTTCATAGATGGCGTTGTAATTAGAATCTGTCGAATCAGTTTTACTCAATCGTCGCAACTTAGTTCCTATCGGATGTCTCACGACACCACACGGCTTTTTTAAGAATTTTTATTAATACTAGTACCATTATAGAGTAACTATCATTAATACTGTTTTGAGCTTTTCATAAAGAGACGTTTTTTTTAGCCTAAACACTAATCCTAGGCGGCATTAATTGGTTTCAGAAATGTTATAGGCCATATGTATATCCGTTAATGTAGCCTTCATAACATTCTTTGCATTCAGTTGTTTTGTAATTACAGTTAAAAGTATATTATACATAAATTTCCACACATATAAAATGTTAAGTTGGTTTGGGTTTTCTGTTTTGAAGCGTATTCAAAAGCTCAAACTTTGACACGATATACAAACTACTTCAAAGATGATTTTCGTCTACTTTTCGCGTTAGTTTTGATCCTTATTTCTCATCGATGCATCCACGATGTTATGGCACATGGCGAAGCGTGACAGGGTATAACTAGTGTAGTACATTAGTTAGTTGAATGTAGTTTTTGCTGTCTTTCATTTTTAAAAGGTTCTTTAAAGTAATACAAAAATAAACATTTAGAATTTAATTAATTTATTCTTTATTTAACTTTCTAAAAATTAAAATAAATCACAGTAACAATTATTACAGACACTTAGTATACATTCTACACTATATATATCTTGGTAATCACAACTTTAAATTAATAAAAATTAATCAAAATGTTGAGCACCTCTAGTAATGGTGGGACTTAACCGCGGAAGGCCTGCCCGATAGGTTTTTTTTGGAATTGTTGTTGCTGGTAAGTAGGTTGAACCTGCTGCTGATAGGAAGGCTCGGGCTGTTGGGGTTTGGATTGGATGTACTGAATAGCGCGCAGGATAGCTTCAGGAATAGGGGGAGGAGTAGGTAAATGGTCGCCTTGGGGCTGGAAACCTGTAAAAAAACACTTCAATGAGTAAATTTCAATACAAATTAGTACGAAACTGGTGCTACTGAACATTGGCAGCTAATGATTTTATTTTTGCTCAATTTACTACTTATTTATATTTTCAATTTTCGTAATCAATCTCTGCAGATTGCTTTATTTATTTCGCGGTTTCACCAATAAATAGATTAATGTCATCATTATCTATCATTCTACCTACTATCATTTTCTTTAGGTTTAGTAGTAAAATATGTATATTAGTTGTACCGTTAAAGGGTTTTAAAATTATAGCTAACAATAAAATTTGGCATTTAAGAATAAAGTATCTGGATTCCATAGATATAAATCAACGTTTAATCGTAAATTTAACGTTTATTATTATTATTATATCAATCTGCTGGGTACCCTAAGGCTGCTATTGTAGAACTTTATTCCGTCCTCGATAAATTTCATTCAACTTATAAGGCTACCATAAAGAAACCCAACATAGCACCTTTATTTTCCTTCATTATGTATCTTAATGTTCATCCTGTAATTAGGGTGAGAAATAAACCATACTAGATACCTATTAAGGCAGAAGCAATGAATATAGCCATTTAAAACCATATTATCAAATTGATTACCGTTTTCATCAGCGACGTAGCTAAGAGAGATGGGAATCCCCTCAAGAGATGTGTAGCTAAAGGAACCTTGGGCTGCAATAGCTGGTTCGCTGTTTGGTCCAGCACTCCTCAAAGAGCCTTGTTCTTGAGCAGCGATGCCATTGCCGGTCTCATAGCTGCGTATTGTTATTTATCATTCCACATTACAGAAATATCTCGGAGGTACTAACTAACAGATTGTGTGTACTTTCTAAATTTACTTTGTGTCTGTTAGACTATTATTTCTGAAAAGTTCCCTTTTATCGATAACTGTGTGTACACATCGTTAGTCTCTTTTGTTGAATAATTTACGTAATATTATCTAGAAAGTATGTTATATTTTTAGAAACCATATATGAATGACACGAACATAAAGATATTCTACATTATTTTAATAAATAAATGTTTCTAAACATTGTGAGATGATTACGGCCTTGAAGAATTTAAATTGCACCTAATAAACCAATTCTCTATGCAATAAATTTGATAGATGATCACTTTGTTAAGGTTGGTGAATTATAAATATCAACAATCTTAGAATATTAGTACCTACACTAGATTTTATTTGTTACAAATGAATTGAACGTTAAAAATGTTATAAATGTAATTCAGAAGGTATATGTTGCGGTTTATAGACACACACACATGTAGTAGAAGACAAAGGGAAATACCTGTATTGATAGGAGCCGTCTGGGTTGATGGTTTGCTCTTGTCTGACGATGGGGATTTCCTGGTATTGAGGCGCGGCACAGGAAACAGCCACAAGAGCAGAGAGTACTATGAACTATTAACAATAACGAATAATGCATGCAAACATTTATAGGTACTAATTGCATTTTGTATTAATAAATGTATTGTTTAGATTATGTATGAAGTAAAGGAATTATTACAGTTTATTGTTAAATACACTATTTCAATTAAGAAGTTATAGTTTTGATCCTGTTAAAAAATAATTCATCGAAAATATTTATAAGCCAACTTACAAAACTCATTTTTACAAATAAATTTTACTGGAGGCCAAGAAGATCAGTAGAGTGTAGGTACTGCGTTAATGATTGCTAAGACCGTCCACAGCGGCTTTTATACGAATGGGTGGCGACAGCTCACCGCGCTAAATGATGCTACGATGCAAGCGCAATTTAAGCTCACATAATTTTAAAAATAAACCCGCCCGCCCCCATATACTACAATACTGGCTGTTAATTAAAATAATAAGGACATTATTTAAAGAATAAGGACATTTACAGAGTAAGTGAAAGTTCCAATTTCAAATTAACATTCGCTATTAATGTGATTATCCTTGCCTCTATGCTTGTCTCACAAACAAGGGTGGAAAATATTTTTGCGCAATGATATTGTACGACTTTAAATGCATCCTGGATCTCAAAATGCCGTTTTACAGGCTAAAAGCCCGTTATGGTTAAGTTTATTGCAGGTTTAGATAAAGGGTTTTCTAAAATAACTATTTACTGTTTAGTTTTGAGACCACTAACCCAGAGGAAACCAAAATTTCAAACCTGTCTCAAGGATCCATCATGATTCCCATAGAAGAACAGTAATTTCATATTTTTATGTTACTTATCAAAACCTTATTCGAATACCTTATAAAATTTCTATCTGTTAACTAGTTCTAGCTTACCGACGACTGGTAGTTGCTAATTTAGTTCGTATAAATGACTTATAAATTAAGTTTTACGTACACACTTTATGTATATTATTGGAATAACCCGATTTGTGTGGTAAAAATTATTCAAGTTTACCCATTTGATATTATTTACAAATGTCAAACTTCAATGCATACATATAACACTGCCCCGAATGGGCAAATTTGTAATACAGTATCATAGTCAGTGGTTTAGCACGGAAAGGTGATGCAAAATTTACAACCAATGTCATTTCATGTCTCCAACTAACAACTCGTTTAGACATCCTATTAAACTATTGGGAGTTAAAATACTCAAAAGAGATAAAAATGAGTAACAAATTAAATGATGATCGTCAAGATTATTGTAATAACAATTTTTTAAATCACCCCTCTCGATCGTTAAGTTATCAAAACTCATAAAGAAAAATAAGGCAAAGACCTTCGCAGACTTTTTAGTTAAAAATGTGTACTTTGCCAATGAGTAGGGAGTCTAGAAGCTTTTACAAAGACGGCCACAATCATACTTACACACTCATCTAATGAATTCTGTCACTTATACAGTTTTATGTCAAGTCTGCAAGTTTCACGTCACGGGTCTAATAAGCTACCTGGTGGATTGGTGGTTTATATTTTTGCAAAAACATCCGAAAATAATAACATTACTAACATTGTCCTGAAAACCAAAGTCGGTACCACAGTCATTTCATGGCTTTTACAATTTTGAGTTCGCTCAAATTGTTGCAAAAGTCTACATTTAGGTAATGGTGATGAACTAATGCCCGAATAATTTAAAGCGCAGCACAGGTGTCTAATCGGGCACAATCATCTCAAACATATTAATTACACAGCACCAGCTTCTCATACGTGTTCCAAAGGATAATTTTACCTATAAACACTGTTTATTGGACATAGAAATATATATTATATTAAGTATAAAAAATTAATAATTTAGGTTTTCTGAGCATTGTAATTTAATTATTATTATTGTACTAAAATCTGTCACAGTATCTAAATTAATAAATGCTATCTCTAGCTAATTTGAAGAAATTCAAATCGTGACTCCAGTCGTAATTGGACTGGAGTCACGATCCAAAATTGCCATATCCCTATCTTCTTGTTTTGATTCAAAATATGTCCACATGTTGTGTTATGTATTATGTGTTAACGTGGTTTTATGGTTAAAATTTAAGATTGCCACAATTCTTTCGCTTACCGGGATATGCATTCTCAATTCATAAAATTACGTTCATGTAAACGGATAAATATGCATAGGATGAAAATTTTTCATTTCATTCGGTTGAATAAGGCAACTTATTCATACAAAAATCGATCAAATCCAAGAACTAATAATTAAATAAACAAAATTTTAGGGATCATTAACACCTAGGTAATTTTCATATCTTATTTTTTTTTTTAAATGCTCAATTGAGAGTAACATAATTGTTCTCTATTACTTGAAAGGAACTAAATTAAAGTAAAAGAAATTTAGGTGTTAAATATCTTCTATATCTTCGGGAAGGTAAACTACTAGTAAACTAAAGGTTTGCAAACAAAATATTTATTTGCAAACGTACACAATTTTTTTTCCATATCAACTTTATATACTTTACTTACTATACGATATTTAATGAATGACACACCTTTGCTCGTAACGGTTTTGTATCCGTCGCTTAAAAAAGTAATTTTCTTAAACGACTATTCATCTCTTTTTGTGTTCAATGACTATCTATAATGCTGTATAACACACAATAGTTACCCGTGCGAAGTACCATTATATCAATTTAATTGTTGACATCTTTAAATAACATTACAATATAGAGCTAAATATTTTATGATATAATTAGAACTCCAAAATATTTTAATGAAAGTGAACGCTATATAGTCACTCTACAAAAGCTACCTATACATATTAAAATAATCATTTAATATTATCAAATGGAAAGCAAATAAAAAAAAAATGCTTTATTAACAATCTTCAGTAAAATCCAAGTAAGGTTTTTACAAAAAATTGAGGGTGCACGTTTTATAAAAGATTGTACGATTTGAATACTAGTCTAACGCTTTCAGCTGTAAGTGCAGAATTAGAAACTGAGTTTGTTTCCTGTATTTACCAAATTGGTATACGTGACCCTCGAGCTGGTTTACAGTGACAAAATAATATGTTATGAAACTGGCGGTACATTAAATCTTATCACAATATCAATGCGACTTGATAGATTGACCAGCCAAAGCCAAGCGGACCAAACGAGTGAGGAATTAGTTATGGTGATACATGCTAGTAACGAAACTCTTAGTGGGCTGTATTAATTCACCTGTGTAATTTATGATCCTAGTGAAAGTTCGATGTTGAACATAAAGGTGGACCTAGGTCTTTGTAGACCTGAGCATATGTTTCAGTCGGTTCAACCTATAGCCAATCAAACTATCTTGAAGTAGTTTTTTAATTTAGAAATAAGTTGTTACCCATTCGCCTTCGTCAGAATGCACATATTATATCTCATCTCTATAGTATTCTATTTAATCCATTTACTCCACGTTACCTCAAATCACTGTTGACGTTCCTGAATGATACTCAATGTTTAGATGGTCAGAAAACCTACAACTAAAAATGCAGGTACATTCCACCGGGTTTGGTTGTGGAACGCCCTACCAATCGCAATCAGATGTGCACTTCAAGTCACGCACTTGCGTCCTTCAAGGAATAAGTGAAAGAATACTACCTGGGATACTTCAATGTCCCATAATTATTAACTTCTACTAAGTCGACAAGATCACATTATTTCTTATAATACGAGTATGTATTTAGTACTCAATAATCACATATTTATTTAATTATATGTATCGAATACTAGTTTTTTCGGCAATCCTAGATAAGTGTATTTAGGAACTTAGAGTGGGAAAATGTAGGAATAAATATTAACGGGGAAGAACTCAACCATTTAAGGTTCGTAGATGACTTAGTATTAGTCACTGACTGGCCTGGTACACAGCGCCATATGCTGCAACAGTTAACAGAAGCTAGTAAAATATTAGGTCTTACCATGAACAAATCTAAAACAAACGTAATAACAAACAGGGAAGAAATAGCCATAAAAATAGATTGAGAAAGCATTGAATACGTGAAAAGCTACACATACCTGGGACAGTTAATATCATTTAGAGATCAAACGAACATTAAAATTGAAAGAAGAGTTGCTTGTGCATGGAAAAGATATTTTTTTTATATTGGTCACATATTATCATATTGGTCTTTTTATTTATATTGGTCACTCAAGTAGATACTTAAAAGCAAATAGTTTTTCATGGCAGCTAAGAGAAAAGTCCTCAACTCGTGATCTTACCTTGTCTAACGTATCGGCGCCAAACGTGGGCCCTAAATCAAAAACATCTTCTAACATTGAGAACATGTGAGCGGGGAATGTAGAGAAGCGTGGTCACTAACAAAGATCGGTTAAGAGCAGTTGAAATACGATCCAGAACCAAAGTAGAAGATATAATAAAGAAAGTAAGATACTTAAAATGGACAGGTCACATGACGAGAGATGGTAAGTTAAAATGGACAAAAATTATAACAGAGTGGCACCCACGTGATGGCAAAAGAAAAAGGGGAAGACAGGCAAAGAGATGAATAGACGACGTCAGAAAAATTGAAGGCGCTACCTGGTCTAGAAAAGATAGAGACAGAAATGAGTGGAAACAGCTCGAAAAGGCCTATGTGTCACAGGACACGCTGATCACTAAACCGGAAAACATGATGTTTTAGATTTAAGTTCTTTTTTTATAGTATTTCATTATTCTTGTGTTTAGTTCTTCAGCACTAAAGGCTCAGTAATAATCTAAAACACAACATAGTATATTAACTCTTATATTCCCTCCAAAAAGTAGATACTATGTCTTCATCACTTTTTTTATAGTTTTGTATATACTACTTTTATTTCCTCTTCTTTTCTATTTCCTAATACACCAGCCACTACCCAATACTTCTTCTCCTTCATGTTTTCTCTCCATACCACGGTTGCCAGTAGGAGATTGCCTCTGAGCGAGCGCGTGGTGTACACGGTGTGCTACTCTGAGCCTGTAATAGGAGGACCGGCTGGGAGTGCGCTTGCGACTAAACTACCCATCAGCAATGCATCCCCGGGTCACGTACCAGAACGGGGGGTTTTGGGGTAGTATTCAAACTATAATTTAAGATTTTACCTTAATACGATGATTCATATTTATATACCTTTTTGATTTATTTGATGACTAATGTATGCTATAGGTGCAGATAATAATATTTTAAATAGGACATTGCAGATTAGTGACAAATCTAAACTCGTCACAGAAAATATAACCGCCTAAAAACCGCCTTTTCTAAGTCTATGACTTTTACATTAGTAAAACGGACATGGACGAAAATATATTTTTTTGTAAACCAAAAAAAACATATTTAGGTGCTTGTTTCGTATGTTGTTCAACGTTAGAGAACTGTCCAAATATCTTATTTTAAAGTTTAATGCAAACCATTTAAGTATTTTTCATTTTTCATCACCATCATCATGATCAGCCTATCGCAGTCCACTGCTAGACAAAGGTATCTGCATTGGCACAGCACTAAAATCGATTCCTAATTTTTAATTTATTCCTGTGTTATAAGAAATTCCTATAACTTTATCCCAGCATTACTAGATACTGCAGCATAAATGTGTTATAGAATTTATTTGTACAACAAATGTATAACGTTGAAACTAGTAACCCTTAACATGCTAATGTACAGATGTCCTTTCAGGTGTCTGTTCGTATATTATGCAAATGGATTGTATTGGGTTCATCTAATTTGCCTAGATGGCCAAAGTGTAAGCTGACGTAATTGTTTCATGTTGGTGTAATACCACATACAATGCTCAAGATATCAATGAAATAGATACATATCAATGAAAGCTTATATTGAGCATCGTATATAATCTGTAGGAGAGCCATGCTTCGGCACGAATGGGCCGGCTTGACCGGAGTGATACCACGGCGTCACAGAAAATTGGTGTTAAGCAATTCTTTCGTTGCCTTTCACTGAGTGAGTGAGGTTACCGGCGCCCAAATCCCCCCTCCCGCTGACTCGAGCGGAAGGGACTCCAAGGGCAGCAACGCACTTGTGACTTTTGAGTTGCACAAGTCCATGGGCGGCGGTAGTTGCTTACCATCAGGTGACCGCTTTGCTCGTTTGCCCCCTATACCATAAAAAAATATGTAAATAAACGTTTCCGTATATAATGTATAGGTACATTGTAAATAAACGACGAGGGCCTGTTGGTCTAGTGGTTAGTGATCCTGACTGCTAAACCGGAGGTCGTGGGTTCGATTCCCACCCAAGACAAATATTTGTGTGATGAGCACGATCGTTTGGTCTGTGTCTGGGTGTATTTTATCTATAATATGTATGTATTTAGAAATATATAAGTATGTTTATCAGCGGACTGGTTACCATAGTACAGGGCCTCAATTCTGCTATTTTATGTTTACGCCAAGCCAGTGTCATACCACTGACACGCTATTGAGATGCCATCGAGTAGCCATTGGCATCGGTATAAATATCGATAGTTGAAAATATATTCCGTTTTTTGAGGAAATGATTTATTTGTTTTTATTATAATAAATTATTAAAAGAAATAAATAAATTAAAATAACTTATTAAAAAAAAATATTAAAAAAAAGGAAATAAATAAATTAAAATTATAAAAGATTAATTATTAAAGAATAAAATATAAAAATTATAAAAAAAGAACTAAATAAATTATTAAAATAAAAAAATTAAAATAAAAATCTCTAAAATTGTAATATATTTTCAAATTATAAGGAAATGACTTATTTATTTAAATAATTTTGTTTTTTTTTTGTAATAAATTATATTTATCTTTTTTTATAATTTTACTTTTTTAATAATTTATTTATTTCTTTTTTTTATAATTTTTATATTTTATTCTTTAATAATCTATTTTAATTTATTTATTTCTTTTTTTAATTTTATTTTTTTAATAAGTTATTTTAGTTTATTAATAACAATAACCAGACAGCCGTGTGTGAGATGTGTGAGGTTATGAGGTTTTTATAAACGCTTTATCAATGCTTATTCCACAGGTTTACTTCATCTTTCAATTAAATTATGTGAGTGCTGACGTTATGACTTACAAGCACTAAGAATAATATAATAAAATCTGTTTGATCTTTGTACACAGTTATACGTCGTAAAGTTAAATCAAGATAAATTTCTCGATAATATTATTATGAGCGTATGTTAGTTTACGACCTCAGACTACATTATGTCTTCAAAATCCTATTTCACTGAACTGTACAAAAACTATGTAACGTTTATAAATATATAGAATGCAAATTGTTTATTAGGTAAGAACTTAAAATTTTAGTATGATTTAGGACAACCGTTTTTTTTTGTGAAAATTACATCATCGTTTTAGCATATTATTATTTTACGATATATTAAATAAATTTTGCTTCATAAATATACTATCGTCCTGTACGATTGCTAAGTATATTTATTTAATAAATAAAATACCAAAATATTATACATCTAACATTATACAGTTTATTTATACGAATCATAAAAAAATTAATTATGAATAATAACATCTTCAAATTAAATCTCAAGGAAGGGTGTGGTCAAGCAAAAAGTATTACAATTTTTATTATTTGACGCAATTAGTTGTTTTGTGAGCATAAAAAAAAACTTTAGTTAAAATGAAGAAAGGGCTTTTAGGGTCGTCTTAACATAAATTGCCTCACAAATTTGCCCATGTCTATTATAATAATCTAAAATTAAGTAGTATTAAGTCTCTTCACAATATATTATAATACATTTGGTAAGTTACCTTAGGAAAAGTAGCGCTTAACATAGTAACATAGCGATACTAATATTATTGGCTTCAAAAAACTATTTTGGAAATCATGAATGGTAAAGTTCAAACTATTTATGTGCGTCATAAAGTACCCAACACTTTACGCTTGTTACTTTACACTTTATAAAGGTCAAGATTGAGTGCTTCCCAATTCAATTTATAGCTAGATTTGAATTGCAATTTGTAGTGGCGTGAGAAAATTTTTTGGCACTGAAACTAACGCCTACTCTGTTGTCTTACCCGTCATTATTTAAACTTACGATCGAATTGAAAGGAATAAATGTAATAACTCGTCTAAGTCTCAAAATGGATTCAGTATATAAGTTTGGCCTAGTATTATACGTGTGTGAAAGAAATAAATTGAAGCTTTGAGTTTAATTAGGCGAAGCAGTAATTATAGCATCAGTTTTTCCTAATTCTTGGAGTAAAACCATGGTTATTTTATGTCTCTATTCTAGTGGGGTCTCCAATCACAAGACGGATATATATGGAAGTAACCCCGGCTTCTTCGATCTTTTATTATATCCTAGCCGTTTGCCCATCCAAGACTTGCGGAATCCCATACCTTAGGTTCATCGGTCTTCTCCGTTTCCTGTTGCCTTCTTCTTGGGCATAAGGCGGGTAAAAGACGAATATTGCTATAATAAACCAGTGTAGATTCTGTTTCTTTAACAACTGCCTTGGTAAGTAGATCAGTCAAGTCAAGTAGTCAATCTATATATTAATTTTATTTATCGAAGAATATATTGCTTAAAGCTTAATTAATGCCATAGGCATTTTCCAATTTTCCCAAACCTTTGGGCAGGTGGCAGGTACATATTTATAACTAGTACGATTAAACAGATTGAGAGAGGCTTCTATCAATGTGTACTGGGTATAAGCGTAGATACATATAGTGTATCCATGCTATTATTATATTATGTATGTCAAAATATATACATATTCAAACATACATTCATAAACTATGAAGACAGTTCTAATTGTTATCCTGAAGAATCCGTAAATAAGTCTATAAAGCTTTCGTAATTCAAGCTTAAAACTGAATCGATCAGTAAACATACTGATTTCTAGTGGGAGTGTGTTCCAGAAATTTTACAGTTTGGACAGCGAAGGAAGAATGAAACATACTGGAAAGGTTGAAGGATAAAAAGGCGAAAAATATTAGGAGAGCTAAGATTTCCGTCACGATTAGAGCAGATATATTGCAAGTGGGCTTACATTTACGACTGCACAGATGGAGTAGTGGTTTAAGTGGTCGCCACGCCGCTTCCTTCTACGCCGAGTGTTGTGGGTTCAAACCCAAATAGGACGACACTTTGTGTTATTCACAAATTGTTGTTCTGAGTCTGGGTGTTCTTTGTATCCGTTTCATGTATGTTTGTAAAATCCCCCGCGACACTAATGTGGGAGTTATCTTTAAAAAAAAAACAATTAGGTAGGTGAGTTGGGCAATTAAAGAGTACTCCCTGTACAAACAGGGAATACTCTTTAATTACCCAACTCACCTATACAATACAGTCAATGCTCTCATAACCGGATATGTAAGATCATAATTTCGCAAGCTAAATATGAAATTAAGGCAATATACCATTTTTTTTTATTTAGGGGTTTTATTTACGTTATTGTTAGATGAGATGGAAAATAAGGGTATAGTTTTTGAAACAATTTTAATCTTAAAACGTTCAAGAGTCAAGAATAGAATAAACAGGATTTTCTTGGATAAGAGTTACTAATTTTCCAATAGTTTAGTTAGATACATAAATTTTTAATATTATAAATTTGGATTATGAAACTGAATTCGATTTAGGAAGGTTATAAAGTCATTATAACAGTTAGCACTAGTCTAATCATGTATTTAATGAATACATGATTAGACTGATCATCTGGAAATCATTGTAGTAACACCAGGGCGAGTCAGAAGTTTGGAGATATGATGTATGATTTGGTGATAATTTTTAATCCTTAAGCCTGTTTTAAACCCTGCAGTTGTGTATGTTATGTAACCCGAAGAACGTCATAGGAGCATAAAGAATGAAACAAATAAAAATATTCAGAAGTTTTCTTTACTTATAAGTCATAGGTTTCTTAAAATAAAATTAATCACAGTAACAATTGTTATAGATACTTATTACTACTTCTACATTTTAAATAATATGTTCATGGTAGTTACAAGAAGGCGATGAGTATCCTTTCACGTTCTCCTATGGCGTTTATGTGAGATTTAACCGCGGAAGGCTTGTCCGAAAGGTTTCTGCTGGAAATTCTGCTGTTGCTGGTATGTAGGCTGAGCCTGTTGAGGATGGGACTCGATATACTGCAGAGAGCGAAGAATAGCTTCAGGAATTGGGGGAGGGGTGGGAAGGTGAGCGCCTTCGGGGTGGAAACCTGTAAATAAATACCTCAATTAAAAATGACGTTCGTAGATTTAATTTTTTAACAAAAAAAACTGATTTTCTGTCCTAACTGCTTACTATTTATAAGATAATGTCCAATTTTACATTTTTTTTATACCGTAAGACCTAAGTAATTTCTCTAATCTGTGAAGATATTTTATAATGTAATATCTTAATATCATAGTTCTCATGACCATCTAAAACTTAAATCATGAAGTTAATTATGTATAATGCTGTAATATAGATTTCTCAATCATTTTCAATCTTGTACAATAAAACGTCAAAAGTAGTAAAAACCAGCAATATCCATTTAACTGAAAACTATAAAAGATATGAATGTTAAATATTTACTAGCCATTGAAAAGTAAAGTGGCATTTAAAATGTTTTGTGACATCAAATGTTATTCGGGAATTACATGCAAGCAATTATGGGTAAAGTCGATAACAGTCATGTTTCTGGCAGTAATATTTCTGAGACTGTTTTACGTTAATAATTTCATTATGTTTGTCTAAACCTAAAGGCATATGACTAGTACATAAATGTGCAATATTTTAAGGAACTTTACCGTTCTCGTCAGCGACATAAGTTACAGATATTGGGATGCCCTCAGGAGAAGTGTAGCTGAAAGAGCCTTGAGCAACTTCAGCTCCTTCATTGTTAGGTCCGACGTTTTTCAGGTAGCCCTGTTCTTGTGCTGCGATGCCATTGCCGGTCTCGTAGCTGGACAAATAAAAACAGATTTCATTATACTATTAAAATACTGCATCTTCTGGGGCTATTAATTATAATTGTTTCTAGTAAGCTGGATAGGTATGAAATCTCAAGTGGCTAAAAATATTATATCATCTTAGTATAGTTACATAAAAATGATTAGTTTTTGAGTATGTAAAATTAAATAAATTGAGCTACTTTGAGAATTATAAACATAATTTCTGAAAAAGAATGCTTATATTTCAAATTTGTATACCACAATGAATATTGTTGTTGTATGAATAAGTTTGGTTTCAAAAAAAAAAACATTGTTGTGAACAAACAAAAACAAAAATAAGTAAAGATCAAATCTAATGATAGTCTTCACAAAAACATTTCAGTTCATGCAATCATTGTTTATTGTAAATTTTGTTGCTCCTTTATGGGAACCTTTGCCTATTATTCGTAGCACTTTGTTTAACATACAAATTGTATTGGGATTCTTACATTGTTAATGTTCAAAACTTCATATATTGACCGAGATTATTTTAATATATCTGTCTGACATATTGGGTTAATGAAGTGTAGCTAAAGCATGTAGGTGAATCACAAATACCAACGAACTCATGCAGTATTATAGCACCTGAGCCAATTTGTTGCGTAAACAGGGCTTGGTTATGAACACTTGCACAGGTGACTCCCACAAATTGATCGTTTAATATGTTTGACACTAAAGGAATGCCCGTTATTACTACACTGTAGTCTTTCCTTTTCACGGTGTTTATATCATACAAGTTATTACATTGAGGTTCAGCTATACACAAATATTTTGACAATTCAGTTTTTTGTAGAATAATTAGATAGATAAATTGTTACTATATTAAATTTATCCTATAGTATGATTCATTCCAAAGGTCGCGGGTTCGATTCCCGCTCAAGTCAAACATTTGTGTGCATGAACATTTAATGTTTGATTTGGTCTGGGTGTACCTATGTATAGTATGTATTTACAAAAAAAAAAGAATAAGTGTATGTGTATGTATATTTATAACAGTTGTCTGGTACTCATAGTACAACCTCTGCTTAGTTTGTCACTAGATGGCGTTGTATGAATGTAGTAAAATATATTATTATTATATTCTAAATATGCCAAATTACATGACAAAAGTTGAAAGGTAGCTTCTGCTAAGATTTTTCACAACATGTCACCGTGACCAGAGTTGTTTTATTTCAAGGATAAACTTAATTTATTTACTGCACTGGCGAAATTATTCATGCTGAACGGGTTACAGCTATTAATCTTCGCATCTGTTTTATAAACTGGAATTGTAAGCTTTATGAGCTGGCGTTAAAACTTTTAAGACCGACTTAAACATTTAAAAATAACTTTATTATTTCTTATTACACTTCAAGAGCCATCGGGTTGTATCTGTGCATGTAAAATGATTTAAAAAAAAATACCTGTATTGATAAGAGCCGTCAGGGTTGATAGTTTGCTCTTGTCTGAGGATAGGGATCACCTGGTTTGGGTATCTGTCCTGTGGCTGGTATTGTCCTTGGAATTGTGGCGCGGCGCAGGTGATGGCCACAAGAGTGGATAAGACGACAAACTGTTAAACAAAGTAATGGTTAATTCATTTGATCACCCAAGAAAAATATATTCAAATAATATTATTATTAGTAACTGTTAGTTAGAAAAAGCAATAGTTAGTAATGATATTTGTTTCTATTGAAACATATTTGCTGACCGATAAAAACAATTTTATGTGTCTTACAAAATGTAGCTTCAAGCTGGTTTCACCATGATGATTAAACTACTACAATATTAACATTTTTATGTCAAAATGTTCGAAACAGCTGCTTTGATTTAATCATTTTCGTAATGATTGGCTATTTTTATCATAAAGTTTCTAAAGCATTGACGTTCTACCTTGTGACGAATTTTAATGGCTGTTAAGGTGATAGATGAGCTAAATTGGTCGAATCGATTCTTATACAACGACGTATTGTAAAATTTGGAATACACAGGAATTTATAGACTATCAAAATTAGAAAAAAAAAAGAGAACATTAAGGTTCTATAACAGAAATAGATAAAGCACAAATATGTCATGTCTTGTTGGTAAACACTATACCTAGTAAAACATCTTAGTATTTACATTATTTAAACAGCAGCATTGATTAATTCAGTTAATTACATGAGTTTTAACAGTGAACAAAACTTTTAATTTTGTTGTGAATTGTGTTTTATTCTTACAATTGAATCAAATATTTTCTCATATTAGTCTTACACTAATTACACGTGGGAATGTATATTGAGATATACTTGTATGTTAAGAATTATCGTACAAACAACATGAATCATCTCCATAAGCTTTGTTTAGTCGCAATGTCGAACTACAAGTTAGATGCACTGCCAAGCTCTTGTACAATGTACACTGATATAATTGGAACTACGTTTTAAGATGCAAGCTGATCCGATAGACGTTGTTCTGTCCATTTTGTGATTATTTTAATTATGTAGAAAAACCGTTCAAGTGCGAGTCGGAATCGCCCACCGAGGGTTCCGTACAAATTTGTAATCTAAAACTAGAAGAATCTGTTTAAGCTTGTGCCAATGAAGCCCTTTTATACGATACCCCACATGACACTGTTAACTCAATTCAAAATTTGGACCGCCGTTCCTTGCATAAAGACCCTGTTTTTTTATCATTTAATTACAAATGCACAGTTTGCAGATTTTTTCCCCATACTTGTAGTAAAAGACGGTATTACTTGCTAAATTTTATAGTTCTAGGTCAAAGGAAAATAGAAGAAGAAAATAGAAGAGTGTAATAAACGTATATTTCGACACTCAAGGGAATCACAATCCTTTTTTTTTACGGCATAAACGGCCGTACCATCTTTTTTTTAACGTTAACTTAAAAGTTTGATTTTTCACAGTTTCAAGAGATTGTAGACCTGAGATAAAGGGTCTTGACAGACTGAGAGACGGACAGACAGACGGACGGACGGACAACGAAGTGATCCTAAAAGGGTTCCGTGTTTACTGTTTGTTATTTACCGTTATTAGATTATGTAAATATTAAAACCGAAAAAGGAATTGGAGAAAATTATTCGGTAAAGAAGCTAACTCAACTTTGTGACATATTTAGAAAAAATATCCACTTTGGAAGTTTCATTTATTCCTTCCGTATCATAAGTTGGTGTAATGGGTAAAGGTAAGGGAATTTCACGTAAATTGTAGGTAATTTAGGATTAATATACCTGAAAATATTTATGTATACTTAGGTAACTTACCGATTTCATGTTTGTGTTATCAAATGTGATAAGTTGTGATAGGTGATGATCGGCGCTGGATGTGTATCGCGGGAATGATTATTCAGATCGACCGCTGCCGCTTATATACGTGCGGGCGAGGCGGTGTAAGCGCACCACTCAGAATTAGAGTACTGAGCAAACGCAACAAACACAACGTACGTAGCCGCCCGCCCTGACACACCGTACACAACAATATATCGAACCAACTACACTGTTTAGTTAATTAACAAAAAAATATTAATTTTAATTGTAACTGATTAATAAATAAACCTAAACAAATTTAAGAGGTAACGTTTAACCTACTTTAAACTATCGTATCCATATTATTTTTATGTATGTAGAGTTTGGGTAATTTGAAATTGAGCAGATAATCTTATAATGAAATTTAGAGGTAAATAGGAAACTATGTATTCAGTGACCAATAGTAAATATGTGTCATCTGATTCATTTCGACTAGTCCAAAGGTCGGACTTATCGATAGTCTGGTGATGGAGCCAGGAGATCTATAGTCTAATTATTCCGTAGCTAGTAAAGTAGAGATAGATACAGATCAGATACAGTTGATTTAGTGTGGAAGATCTGAAAATAGGTGGGCAGCAGAACTTCATTTATTGTTATTTTATTATGTATGGGAGATAATCATGAGCTTCATCTCTATTACTTATATTTTGATGTGTAGGTATACGATTGAACGATTATTTTCTAAGATTAATTTTCTTACTAGAGTTGGTCAGCTCTGCCAACTTAGGTTTTCTTTTCGTAATGTGAATGTTTTACTTAAAATTTAGCAAGATTTTGAGGAAGTGCTTATATTTATTTTTATTTTACGATCATGACACAAATCAGGATCTTCCAATTACACCTTGTGGTTTTTTTAAAGATTCCTACAAAGCACAACTACTCACTACTAATTATTTTTTCTTAAAAAATATATATTTTAGTCTGATGAAGAATTCTCATATCCCATACATCCCATATACTCTATTCTGAATTTAATTATTATTCAGTATGTAAGTTGAAAATACTGTCCTACGTCGGTGAACTCTCTGAAAATACTTTAGAAAACATTTTGTTCTCAAAAAATTTACTTTGATTTATCTCCTACTCATTTTGATTTGTGATATTGGCTAACACATCCATGTCTAAACCTCTCATCATACTTGACAGATATAGCAAGGCTACATATTTAATGATTGGTAGTTTTTTGCACTGCGGTCATATTATGTTTAGACTTATAGGGATAATTGGATTTGGCATCCGATTCATTGGTTTTGATTCGATCAAAACACTTATCATATTGCAATGACGTGACCGGAATGGATTATTTAATAGATGTAAATCCAATATGTATGTATAATGATATAAATATTTAAAAAGCATTATAATAACATTACTACATGATATTTTGTTATATTTTATACTTTATTTTCAAATACAAAACCTCAGCAAATCAAATAAGAGGTTTGATTTCCTGAGGATTTATGATTGTTTACCGAATTAGGCAGCCTTTTTTTATGAACCGGTCCTCACTACGAGAGAAAAACATAGTTTTACACAGATATCTATAAACTTAACATATATTTACTTAAATAAAATGTATTTTTATCACTATAGAGAAAAAACTAAGTTTCACGCTATAATTGTTTTAGTCGAGCTTACTCATGTGAAAGAGTGTTTGAACATTATTATTTTTCTTTGTGGATATGCATCATGCTCTGATTCATAATCTTTTGCAATACGTTAAAAATACTTTTAATAGCCCTTAGCATTTGCTTATAGGATTTTAATAGATCTATGATGTATATTAAGCGATTAATATTACACGCACATGGTTTTATGTTTTATTGCCGTATGATAGAATAGTAAATAAACTTAGTTCAATACCTAAACAAAACAAACAAATAAATGTTGTCCGATTTCAATATTTTCAGGGAAGTGAAGTATACAAGACGTGCACTGTAATGAAAATTGTAGCCTTAGAAAGTCAAGGCTACCATTCTCATTACAGTACATAACTACTTTAGCTAAGATTATATTGCAATATGTAGATTCAAATCTCGAAATTAAGACGCACTGATAATTCGCTCATAAAAAAGGTCATGCACGCACAAGTGTGATCTTAAACAGTTGCGCTACATAGGCTGTAATTTAATTATATCACTCTAATTTATCACTGTTGTACCTAAAATTATATTCATGTTATGTGCTGAATAATAACATAACCTGTAATACTAGACTCGGAGAGAAGATGCCCGCGGCTGTGTTACAAAGGACGCCTATCAGCGATGTCATGCCATCTAGTGAGATGTGAGTGCTGGCTATAGACTCTTAGTGCAATAAATATTATTCAATTCGGAACACGACGTCATAGCGAGCTCTAGCGAGGTCTGTCTTTATATCAGAAGCTTCTTCACTAGTCTTTACATTGATCCATAGTCATAGAAATAAACAAAAACAGTATTTTTATAATATTTTTAGTTTAATAATATGTATTCTATGTTCGACGATGTAAAATGAGTTAATAAGTGCACAAGGAGACCGGAATTTATATCTTGCTTTTGTCTAATATACTTTGGTTTCTTTCAAACAAAAATGTAATTAACAAATTTTGATTTTTTTTCTAAGCTTTGATTGATTATAGTTATTACGATCCTAAATAGATGATTATACTGACAAGTCAGTACAGACAGCCCGGTGCCACAGCGTTGAGCTTTGTTTACATGATAAATAAAGAGAAACCAACCACAGAGGTGTTTTTTTTTGACCGTAAACAAAGTTCAATAAAAGTGTGCGAGTATAGTATAAGGTCTGGGTAGGCCTTTTGAAGAAAGGACCATAGTTTTGAGTCGGCCTGGCCATACAGACGGCATACAGGTCCCAGCCATCGTGTAGCTTAACTGATATTGGTCAAGATCAACGACCCGAAGCATGACACTACGGGTAGGCCGTGGAAACACTTTCTGAAAGTTACTAAAAGTATGCATTAACATTAAAAATCTACACTATACTCACATTTACATAACACAAAACTATTCAAATTCAACGAAGAATAAAAAAAACTGAAAACAAACAAAATTCGAAATACACGAAAAAAAATATGTCCATCACTCTCAAACATAACAATGATAGGAACGAAAATGTGGGAGTGAGCAGCATTAATCCCAAGCAAATTTGTCATCTAAATAATCTGTTATCGTGTAGTAAGCCTTTTCACAAAGTTTCAGTTTTACTAAAGACTTAAACTTATTAATACTTATGATATACTAGCTGACCCTGCAAACGTTGTTTTGCTATTTACATTATTATTATTTGTTTTTTTGAATTTCTTAAAATCCGTTCTTAGCTGACCTCTACTCGGTGAAAAGAATATTCCTACCAAATTTCAAGTCTTTAGCTCTAATGGTTCCAGAGATATCGTGATGAGTGACTATATACTATACTAAATCTCTTATATATATATAGATTATTCATGAAATTTACTTGTCATTTTATTGTAAAATCGCACACCCTGACATCAAAAAGACTTGCTTACTTTTTGTAGTCTAGTGGTTGGCACCACGAGTTCATCTTTATTTCTAGTGTTTATTTCAGTGGTTTAGAGTGAGACTACATTAGGCTTGCCTTGTCTAATCAGATTTTTGAGGTTATAAGTCTAAAATATTTGATAATTGTTATATCCGTGGGTTTAAAATGTTCTGGTTTTATTTAAAAAAAAAATTGGACATAAAGATTTTTCTAGGGCACGAGTTATCTTAAAAACTCTTATTGATATTTGGCAATCATTTAAAAAATATTAGTACGACATAAACTCGAAAGGTGATCGTATACTGAAGAGAATAGTCTCTTTATAATTAATCTGTACTTAATATATATATTTTGCAGATCAATCCCCTTTTTTCTGGCTGAAGTAAGTTATTCAAGATTGTATGTCTTAATATAGACATTAACATGATGTTATAATTACTATGTTAATAGCCAGTAATATATTCATGATGTTTTGCAACGTCAAAGTAAGTGAAACAGATAAGAAGTTCAGATGTTGGAAAGAATTTTGAAGGGCGATAACTTTTTAATAACGTAAGCATGGTTATTTATGAGTTAGTTGAATTCCAGATAAGATTAGAATTTGAATAGAAATTACTTTGTGTCAATGTTACGATCAATTGCCGTCGTTATCATTCAATATTTATTAAATCAAATGCTCCATAAATGTGTGGTTTATTCTTAATTATTTTTTTTCTATGTTAAGAATTTATATTGGATAACTTATCCGATATCATCTATTTACGTAGTGCACCCATGTAGCAAGTACCTAAGTTAATTTACAACTGGATAAGATGTTCGAATTACAGTATATTGTTTGTTTCCAACAATATTTTTTAAATGGTTAAATGTTGATGAGTAGTTCATATTAGGCTATTATAACTTGGATAAATTTTAAGCTTGTAACCGCTTTTCTTCTCAGGCGGACTACTCACCGGCTGACCCAGTGGAGAGATTTATGAGATTACCTCAGGGCGCCTTTTAAGAGAACAGAAGTGTGTGCGTGTGGGAAACCTACGGGATTCCTTAGAGGAAAACAACTTACACCTCAGTCATACATACATGTATATTTCAAAAACAAAATTAAAGTTACAATAGAAAAATAAATAAATTAATCAGTGGGTACAAGAAAAACCGCAGCGGAGCGCGTCAGAGCCGAGCTGATGGTGCTCGGAGCCTCCTCGTCTTCACTCCAGGAGGTCACTTCCCCTTCCGCCCGAGTCGGCTATTTATATTAGATATTGAGAAAAGTTCACTATTGGTATTTTTAAACTTAAATAGAAGTACGTAACCCTTGGGTACGGCTGTCCGCTTGCTTGGTGAGCCGCGTGACTGCCAGTTTGCCAGAGGGTACCGAGAAACTTGAATTCGAACCAGAAGGCCACAAACGAACAAGCACGCCGTCTGAGACTGACCGTCTTGACCCCGAAATCTGGGACCCTACG